CGGGACGGCTCTGCGCTTTCCGCCGCGCCTTCCGGGCCGGGCCGGGAAAAGTTGGGGCGGCGCGCTGGCCTTGGGGGCCGGGCGGGAAGTGCGGCGCCGGCGACCGAGGCCCCGCGCGGGGAGGCGGACACGCGGGGACACGCGCGGCCCGCAGAGGGGCGCGCGTTTGCAGGTGGCAGCGGGTGGCCGGGGAACCCAGCAGGGCGGCGGGGACGGGCTGGCCTCTTCTCTGCTGCGGCCCAGGGGCCCGGCCGAGAGTTGAGGACCCCTCGTGGCGTCCGGGGTCCCCGTGGGGAAGGAGCTGAACGTGGTTTCCTGCGTCTCGGGCTCCAGGACTGCCCCTCCCGGTGCCTCGTTCACCTCACACTGCGGTGCGTTTGTCCTGGGGAAGTTGAGCGGGCCGCGGAGTGGACGGTATGTGGAGGGTGTTCGGAAGAGAGTGGAATGGGACCGCATGAAGCACGCACACCCACCCAACCTCTCATTCCCGGCTCAGTGCGAAACTCCGGGCCCCCTAGCGTTTAAGAAATTCTCCGGGCTGGGCCAGCAGCTGCTCAGAGCCGCACTGCACATCTAGGTATAGTGTGTGGCTAGGAGACATGGCCTCTGATTTTTTGTCTGTCGTTGGCCACTTCCCAAACAAGGTTTCAACAGATGCCCATGCGTTATTACAACAACCTATGTGGTGCCTCTTTATGAACTTGATGCCCCTTCCCCAATAAGCTTAGTATTCAAGCCACCTCCATGCCAAGTTGAGTGCAGTAGAGCATAGCTGTGGGCCCAGGCCACTCTTGAGCCCTTGGGAGAGTCTAGATGTGTCAGCAGGCATGACCTTGGGTGAGCCCTATGGACCTCAGTGTTCTTATCTGTGCAATAGGGATAAAAAGCCAGATAATTTGTAGGAGGCAGGAGGAGGTTTCCCAGGGAGCCTGAAGAGTAGCCTTGTCTGACTTGCAGTCTCCTGTGTGCACAAATGTTTCTACTTGGCGCCTAGGAAGAAATTAGGATAGCTTTGAAGAAAACAGGAACTAAAAAGATTGAACACACAAAGCAAAAAAGTGGTAATTGGTACTAGGCGTACATTGGAGTGCTGTGCTCATGCAGGTAGTGGATATTATGGGCTGCCGGTTTGTCTTTGCTATAAAGTTGCGTCTAGAGCGGAGACTATCCTGAACATGTCACCCATGGGTACCAGCTGCTTCTTTTTTTAGCCTTCAAGCCTGGGGTGGTCGCTCAGTTGGCCTGATGGGGTTCTCCCTGAAGGGCATGCCCAGATCTCGGTATCCTTCTGTCTGACTGATGCTTTTGTGACTGCACCCTTGCCACCTCTTCTGGTCCAGCTTTAGAAGTAGTGGGCTGACTTCCCATTGCATGTGCTTTTTCTGGACTAAGCTGATTTCTTCCAAGTCCAGGTAGTAAACACGTAGGCATGAGGTATGCTTGGGTGCAGACCATTACAAATAGTTTAAGTAGTAGTATAAGTTGTGTCTACTCCGTCTTATTCCCCGGTTTCTGCTGGGGCAGACTCTCACCCAGACGTGGGAAACAGTTTTTGGGTCCTGAAGGCAATCAAAGTAATCGGGCTAAGCAGCTCAGTAATGGTCAAGCTTCAGGGTTGTAAGGCGAGGTGGGCCCTTTTTGTTTTTATCCTAACTGAATGTTTTTCTCCTGTCCGCTTCCATTCTCAGCTTTCAGAATCCACATCGGCTCTGATTTGACCATGTCATTTTCAGTGATCCTTAAAAGAATTTTGTTAGTTTCTTGGAAGTGGCAGTAGATGATTATCTCTTAAGTTTCAGATAGTGGTAAAAAGATACCTTAAAAACATAGGGCTTCACTCATTACACTCAGTCCTCAAAATATCTGTAGTGTGTGCAATAGTTATATGAGTATAACTATCACAGAGACTGCTAGGCTGACAAAAATCATGTTTTCAGGATAGTTTCCATTTGAGCCTCTGATGCTCTTTAGGCTCTGAAGCGGAGTGGGCTTCAGTTCACCTGTGAGGAAGCAAAGTCAAGAAGCACGCAGCAGTCACGGCAGTATCTCTGCACACAGAGAGCCGTCTGCAGTGATGGGAAAGGAATTCTTATTAGTTTACAAGGTTGTGATCTCTCAGTGGGAACATGAGGAACCGAGACACGTTCTCTGACTCAGGATGTTGGGCTGTAAGCACTGAAGGACCCTGGAAGTGATCCTGGGAGTCCAGCAGGCCTGGGCCGGCATGTAGATCTTGAGCCCTTGGCCTCACTCTGGTCTGGGATTTGCTCCTGTAAAGTCTGAGCCCTGCTGCTTTCCCTCACCTGTGAACCAAAGGCTGAATGAAGGCTGGCCCCTCCTCTCTCTCTCCTTGCTCAGGCACTCCAGATAATGGGATTGATTAAGTCTTCCAGTAGGAATTGTCCTCAGGGGAGAAAGGCTTTTTAAAGTACATTTTTGTCCTTATGAATAATTCCTCCGGCTTTCGCCTCCCCACACCAGTTCCAGCACAGACAGAGAACATTCCATTGCCTTGGGCTGTGGATGGATTCAAGAAGGAACTGAACAAACCAGAAGCCAGAAAGGGCAGGTTGGAAGTTGGATGTGGTTATAGCTGGTTTTCGTTTGCTTATTCTGTAGATTTCTCTCCATTTCTGGACAAGGGAAAGATAACAGAGTTTGGGGGTTGGGGGCCTTCTGGGTAAGGTGAAGAGGGAGGAGGCAGGGAGGTCACAGAGGAGGTAAATCTGGCTGACAGTACAAGGGGACTATAGTTAGATGTGGAACTGAGGTAGATACCAGGCCACTGGCCATCTAGTCCTCGAAGCCTCCCTGCTGGGCTTTCAAGTTTTGTGCTCTGGGCAGATTGAAACTCGCCCTAGTGGCAACATCAGTGAAATTCTGTAGTCAGTTGTGTGCAGAAAAGGAAATTAAATTCCAAGAGGGTGTTTGTTGTGATGGATGCCAGGATTTTTTATTAGGATCTAGTCAGTCTATAAAAGTACCTCCTAGTTCCCCAAAGCTATTCATTTTAAAGGAAATAGTTTTTAAATCATGGAAATGTCTTCATTGCGTGTCTTTGAAATGTCACCCTCCTAAATTTTGGAAACAAATGAGGTTTAAAACATCTCAAGAATTTATATTTTGACCTGTTCCTTCACCATTCTCATATTATTTTAATAATGAGTTACTTTTGGTTTCCTTTACATTTTGATAGCCGAGTTTCTACACTTCAGTGCTTGCCTCCTCCTTCTATTCTCTTGGGTTAATTCTTACTGATTATGCAGAGCTGCTGAGGAGACAAGGAACACAGTATACTGAACCAGGCTGGGGACAGCCTTAAGATGCTCACTCTTGGAGAGCTAAACTATCAAGACAGGATATGGTCCTGATAACAGACCTGATGGCAGATTATGATGCCACATAATCTACAAAGCATGGTGTAGTGATCGTTGACAGATACATGTATCTTGCAGATATAAAAGGCTGGTTGTGTTGTTCAGAAGCATGCTTGTGGAATTTGATAGGCTGGCACAGGTGTCATGGTGGCTCAGAGACACGTGTCCAACAAATAGTCTTAGACCATGGTCTGTGCTTATATGGATTCTGGGCAGGTAGGGCTGTGCTCACTCTGCTGAGGATAGGATAGAGCCATTGTCTTGTAGCTTGGGAGCTTCATCAAAGAGAGAAGGTTATGTCTGTATCAGCGAGATTGTTCAGTGGACTGTGTGGCATATGAAACACAGCAAGTGGAAATTAGTGGAGAAAGGAGTCTGTTCTGTCAATATAATGGGCTCAAAACAGCCCAGGTAAAAGCCATGACACTGTGGCCCTGTGCTACACAGTGAATGGGGAGATCTTGGTCTCTCTGGATGATGGAGTTCAGAGAGGAACCATTCTTTCCTGCATCTCAACCTCACAGCCTTGAGCTGTGGTCCGGAAGATGCTGAGAGGGAACCTGCAGCAACATGCATTGCTTCTTTGGGGCTCTTGCTAGAGATGGGTGTCTGAGTCTGACCTGCAAAGCCTTCCTGGCTACCCTCTGACCTTATTATCGTTTCTAGGAGGTCTCAGAACTGAGGTTGGGCTCTCAAGCCCCACTTAGGAATACTGTTTGAACATTCAAATGCAACTTGTTAGAAGGATAAAGCCTAGTTTAGAAGTAGTTTTCATTCCAATAATTGCTGATCTTCAAGTGGATGTGATAGGGTTAGTCCTCAGTTCTCTGTGTGTGCCTGTGTGGGGTTGCTGGGGAAAGCAGTAACAGTGTCTATACTGTGATTAGTGGCCACCTCTAAGGAGTGGTGGTTATTGTCCTCTAAAGACTTCAGCCTGTGCAGCAGAGCTGGACCAGTCTGGAGCAGACTCTGAGCCCTGGGATAAGGGTGACTGGAGTTTTCACATGGAACATGCTGTTTTCGTGTCTTATGTCATCGCCCTTGCCTCTTCCAGAGATGGTAGTGAACCTGCTTACTGTCCGATTTCTGGATTGCATTCCTGTTTGTTCCTGTTCTGGTCAGACAGGGGATCAGTTGACCAGGTTCTGGCTTTATCTGTGCTCTGCGTTTGTGAGGGAGCAATTGGGTAAC